AATCGCATCTAGATTTCCTGACCGAAATTTCAAACGTACTAACTGTGCGCCATCATTAATTTCTGGAAATAGCACAAAATCCGGTGAAAGCACTTCCAAATGATCTCCAAAATATCCGATCTGATCTTCATGGGATAACCTAGACGAAACTGGAATTTCTCCAATTTCCGGTGACATAATCATCACCGGAAAACGCTCCGTTGCCACCGCCAGACCACCCTCGCCCTCCAGGGCTGTCTCGCACAAATAGGCTGGAGGTGGTTCGCGTTCGTCTTGAATATTTTGGTAGGGTTCCTGTGAAATCAGAATATGGCTCATAATGATCGTTGCAGAGCCATCATCCTTTTCTTCATCTGGTTCTGTTTCTGTTTTGTGATTCTACATAAAACACAGTGCAATTATCTTTAGAGAATTCTACTTTGAGTTTATCTTCACAAAGCTGACTTATGCTGATTAGATTTGTTTTTAGACTTTGTACTAGGAGGACTTTTGGCAACCTAGGCAGCCCATGGATATTAGAGATGCCACTTGCAATGATCTGGCCTTTTACTCCATCTCCAAAGGTAATATGTCCTTCATTCTTATACTGAATGTTTTCTAGATTTTCTGGATTTCCAGTCATATGCCTTGAACACCCGCTGTCAAAATACCATACGTTTTGTTCTTTGCTAGTTTTTGAGGTGTAGGCAACATTCTGATCTTTTCTTACCCAGATTTTCTTGCTTTGTACTGACCAATCTTTGTTGATTTGTCTGTAATACAGATCATTTTGTCTTTTGAAGCAGTATGCTTTTATGAGCCCCAGTCTGTGACAGTAATAGCATTTGTTCCTTCTTCGGTGTTGGAAGTGATGTTGCGACACTTCAGGAATTTCAGAAGAATGACTATCATTGGATGCTGGATTTGGAGATCTAGGCGTCTCAGTTAGTGTCTTGATCTCTTGTAACAGTTTGGCTTCTCTGCCTTTCGACTCCATTAATTCATTCTGAGTATCTTTAAGGCGTTTTTCATTACTCTCCTTTTCATCTTTTAGAAACTAATTTTCATGTATGAGTTCAAGATTTACTTTGATGATTTGTTCTCATTTAGCATGCAGCTGTGTATATGACTCTAGCTGTTCTTGTATATCATTTTCGTTTCCGTTGTCATTCTCATGATTTGTGGTGAATGCTACGATATTAGTGTTGGTACCTTCTTCACTGTCTGAGTCATCGCTTAGTGTTGTCACATATGTTTTGTTATTCCTTTTAAAGTATGTTGGACATTCTGACTGGATGTGTCCAAACCCTTTGCACTCATAGCACTGTATCCCTTCTGTGTTTGATAGTCTTCTCTTGGAAACTCCATTAGGATCCTACTAGTAACTTAAGCAGTTTGGCTCTGATACCAATTGAAATATATATAAGCGCAGCACACAGTGATGTTGAAACTGACGTTGTAACACAAACGATCTATAACGCAGTTTGGGAAAACAACCCTAATCTGCGAGGCACTTCTCAATTTGAGAATTTGTCTAAATCCACTAAAAGCTTAATATTTAAAGTACATTGTTTGGAACCTGAGATTACACAATAGAATGATCTTTCCTACCAAACTACTGAAACCTAAACACATGTACTACTTTCTAGGGGAATTTAGTATCATATTCCCAAAGACTCTCATACCTCACAAGATCAATGTTGAATGCCTCATTTCTACAATAAAGGACAATCTTTATTTATAGTAACTACTCCTAACAGATTCGTGAATAACAAAGCTATTCCTAATCAAACTAGAACTAGGAAAACTTCAATAACAATTCACTTTAGAACTAGTATTCTTCATTAGCTATTCCTCTTATGACTGGTATTCCTTTATAGAACTGGAATTCTTTTTGCACATAACTTTGACAAAACACTTTGAGTCAACAATCCCCCTCACCGGTCAACCCATAGTTAATTAAAATGTTAAACTAATATAATTTTTAAAAATAAAAAGAGAAAAATTAAAACAGTACATACTTTATGCTATGAAATAATGTAAAATTCAAAACTCAGATACAGTACATAGTTACATACAAAACTCACAGTAATGTACGTTCAAAAACTCAATCACAGTAAACGCACATGCATTACATATATTTGACACAGTACATGCTGATTTCTATTTCTGATTCTAATTTCTAATATCTAAATTCTAATTCTAATAATCTAAATTCTAAATTTCTAATAATCTAATGTGTGTATATATATATATATATATATATATATATATATATATATATATATATATATATATATATATATATTAGATTTTAAATATTTAAATTATTCTAAATAATAATAATAATAATAATGTAAATCATTTTTATAAATTTGATATTTATATTTCATGTAATAATTAACATATATATATAACTCAAATATATAATGTGTATATGTTATTATTAATGAAGAAGATAAGAAACTACATGGTGGATGCATGTGCATGGTAATAATAGTGGAAAAGATTAAGGAAGTTATAACGGTAGTGGTATGTTTGTCCAAAATATTTTAATGTACAACCTTTATAGCATAATGTACAAAAAAAAAAAAAAAAAAAAAAAAAAAAAAAAAAAAAAAACTTAACGGAAAAAACGGACATAAATCAGGGGTATAACTTTCATTCACACTTATTATGTTTTTAGATATATGTTTAATTAATCGGGGACGGGGCGGGGACGGTTATCCCCGTCCCCGTCGGGGATGGGGATGTGGCACATTGTCATCCCTAAAAGGTCCATTGTCTTTGGTGGCAATTTCAAATTTAGTCCCACACTATCGTTTTTGCAATTTAACATCCCAGATTATTATTTTTTGGACACTTTTAGTCCTTCTCATGATTTTTTCTATTTTTAGTAAGGGCATTTTTGTCTATTCATATTTTCATTTTTAATTTTTCCGATTTCAATCGGTTTAATTTGTTTAGAACTTTACTAAAAATCAGTTAAAATATAGTTACTACAATTTACCTAAAGTTTTAAACTGATTGAAACCCGAAAAATAACTAAAGGAAAATATGAAAAAACAAAAATGTCCTTACTAATTCTAGAATTTCCTTATATACAATTTTTGTATACTTTAACAATAAAATTTACTTTTTTTGTTCTCTAAATTATAGAAAAAGAATATTGTTACTCTCTTACATTGTCACTATTTTTTATTCTTTAAGTATCTATAAAGTATCTTTTTCGTCCTTGAATTATTCCAATGTGGTTTTATTAATTCAACCGTAATAGAATTTAATGATGAAAAAGTCATTTCACAGTCAATTAAGACTTAAGAGAGACAAAAATGTCAACATGTATAAATAAATTAAAGTATGGAAAGTACTATTTTTCAGAAAAGTGCAATTTCCCTTATGATCCCATTTAATAAGAAAATACAACGTATTATAGCGTGAAACATTTATTGCAGTATATTATACGCGCTTCATGAAGAATCAAACAAAATTATTGCTACCTTGAAAATATGTCGAATCATTAGACGTCCAACACAACAAAGATCTTATACAGAGAGTTTGGTTGGGAGGAGGGAATAGGGGACAGAGGGAGAAAATTGTAATTTGATGGGAAAAGAAAAAAGTGGAATAAAGAATTGTGTTGTAATTGCATTTCAATTCATGTCTACCAAATAACTTGTTAAGGAGTAGAGCAACAATGCCTCAACCCAAATAGTACATAGTTGTGACAACCCACCTCTTATTAATTGAGGCTAGAGTTAGAATATTTTATATGTATAAGTAATGACTAAAGAGTTTTTACACTCAATAAGTATGCAACATCGTCACTAAAACATATGAAAACTCGATCTACCACCACTAATTCAAAAGCTAATGAAAGATGTATTTACCAAACAAACTAAATATGAACTTTTATTTTAATACATAGGTTTCCCACTTCATGCCAAACTAATCGATCATAGTCTTTAGTTTCCCATCTCAAGAACAACTAGAGGATGTAAATTTGAGTCGCATAAGCGACATTTCAATTAGTCCTAAACCCTACTCCAACATGTGGAGCCCAAAATAAAATAATGTAGGTTAAACGGGCCAACCCGTGTAAACCACGTGTTGGCCCGTTTGAACCCGTATAACTGTCGGGTTATACGGGTCGGGCCCAATTCAGGACGGGTCGAAAAGTGTGTGGCCCAACCCATCTGAAAAGTGGGTTAAACGGGCCCAACCCGACGGGTTGGGCCCGTTTTGACAGCTCTAAGTCCAACTCTAAAGATGTTTGAGGTGGGATTTGAATCCCCACTCTGACACCTTCCGTTGTGACTTGAAATCAAGTGATCAATCTCTATGCAAGCCTCGAACGCAACTAAATATGAACTTTTCATGAGCTATAAATGACTTAAATCTCATTATTTTTCATAAGCCCCGACAGTAGTATTTTTGGCACAGTTGTGCTGGATGAAGCTGTTGATTAAGTGCATGGTGACGGGTTTGTATTGTTTGCTTAACTGATCTAGAAAGTGTTAGCAATCAATTACAATGATATTTGCCAAATATGTAAAGAGTATAATATTTAGTCCATGATCGTAAGATTTGTATGTAGGTGGATACTGGATAGATTTTCTTTGTTGAATGACACAATTGTTCTTGCTTCTTCATGGATGCAGTGATAGGTTGGGGTATGAAAGATAAGGAGGCAGATACAATATAATGTTGCTTCACCTTTTGTTCTTCTTCTCTCTTTTATCTAATATTAGAGGCACAAAAGGCTTACAAACACAACAACCATTATCATCAGTAAGAAATGTTGATTGAACATGAATACAAATTGTTTATATACACATGCATTTGAGCAAAGAATGAAAATAGTACTATTGATGATGCATATATGCATATAGGAGTCTCAGCTCAGCCCAATAGAGGCTAAAACAAGTCTAGTAAATCCATAGTAACACCAGAAACAATACTTTGGAAAGAAAAGATAAACCACAGCTCAGAATTAACAACACCAAAGTTGGAAAAAGAAGCTATTCTACTAACTCAAAACTAATTGAGTCAAGCTCTAACTCAAAGGTATCCCACTCTTCAGTTAAATAATGTAGTTCCCCGCCTTCCATATCCCAGAAGCAGGCTCTTAATCCTCCTACTTCGATAGTGTCGTTGTTTTCCACCCCCTCCATAAACTCCATGGGCTCCAAAGGGATATACGAACAAATGGAAAGCTGCATTATTCGGTAGAAAACGACCTTATCATTGACTAAAAAGTCCCTTAGAATGTACAGTAATCTTTCATCTCCGTCAGCATCAATATAAATTCTTGGCCCATCATTGTGACGTTGCATCACAATTTTATTTAAGACTTCTCTAAAAATTTCCCAGCCAACATTTAATGGGTTAATAGGTATTTCTTCTTCCCCGTTTAGATGCACATACGTGGCCCTAAACTCTGGCCATGGCCACAAAATATGTGGTATTATTTGATCCTGTCCGTGATCATAGCAATTGTACACAATTTCAACAAAAGTCGAAAACCCGCCAACATGTACAACGACGTGAGCCACCACTTCGTCCATTCCTTCATGTCTGATTACAACAGGAATGGTATTCTCAACATCATTCCTTTCTTGCTCTTGTACTTGGGGTTGGAGGACTTCTTATTGTGGGGGATTCATAATCGTCCTAATTTCCTCAATGAGCTGGTTAGACTCGGTAAAACCTATTTTATTCCTTTCTCTTTTGCAACAATGATCAGCCTCAATATTTGAAACCTGCTAGTCAATATAAAGACATTTGCAATACAACATAATTAGGTCAAAGCAAAACAAAAAGGAATTGCAATATTAGAGGCACTCAAGGCTTACAAACACAACAACCATCATGTAAAATATTGTTGATTGAACATGAAGACAAGGTTGAACAACACAGTACACATGCATTTCAGCAAAGAATGAAAATAGTTGGTAACAGAACTGTTTATGATGCATATATGCATATAGAAGGAGTCACAGCTCAGCCCAATAGAGGCTAAAAGAAGTCTGGTAAATCCATAGTAACACCAAAAACAATACTTTGGAAAGAAAAGATAAACCACAGCTCAAAGTTGGAAAAAGAAGCTATGGGGCCTTCTCATCATCAATCATCATCTTCCTCTTCTTCAATAAAACAATTTCGTTTAAAGAATAAAACAATAAAAGTTAAAGAACATAAAGTGAAATGAAAATTTAATTTCGTTTACAAGCTACTAGACAATAGACTTGCACTTCCAAGCCTGTGCCACGAAATTGACTTGTCTGGATCAAGGGCTATGCAGATTGTTCAAACTCAGAATCTTCTTTTACCAACTTAGAAATGGACTTGTCTGGATCAAGTGCTATGCAGATTGTTCAAACTCAGAATCTTCTTTTACCAACTTATCACACAAATACAGATAAATACACGTAAAGATCTGAATGAAACATACCACCCTCTACACACATATATGACTCCATTTCTGTACTCAAATACTCACCTTAGCATCATGACAAAGTACAGATTGATTAAAATTGATTGCTGGAGTGCGTATATCCCATATATGTAGATGTTTATCTTCTCCAACTGTACCAAATAAGTTCCCATCCTTCATATGCCAAGCTACATCCTCAATACATCCATGCTGTATCTGTTAGAACATCACCAAAAGAGCTATTTATCAGCATAAAAAACAAAATGATGCATAGTAGTTCTTATATAGTTAATTCTGATACATACATCAAATATACGCATAGCCTCAAGTGTCTTATCCGTTGGAGTGGCATTAACATCCCACAAGCAAACTTGGCCATCCTCTGAGCCACTTAACAAATGACCCTTCTTAAATGGACTCCAGGACAAGCAATGCCCTTTGTCTTTGTGACCAGTTAACCTCAAATCAGGGTTGCAAACACCCTCCTCGGGATGTTTTGATGGATGTTTGGTACAATCAAAAATGAAAAACTCAGCACTGCCTGTCTTGGTAGCAATAATACTTGGGTTTTGTGGCATGTAACGAGCCCAGTTAACTACCCCATCATGATTTATTTTCTGCACTCTTCTTGTCTGCAACAGAAATATTTAGTGTTACATGAATAGGGGAGTTACCTCAAATAGCTGCTAAATTTGTAAAATAGGCAAGAAAAGATACTATAGGAAAATGAAGTTTCAAGACAAAACTACTATAAATGTATACATTTGAAGTTGAAGATAAGTACAGAGTATATGTTTTCTGAAGTTTCACAACAAAACTACAGTTAGAATTGAAGGAGAGGGAAAAATGAGATTGTAAGAAGTCTGATTTATGCAAATAATACTTGATCTATCTCAACATATTTTGCAGCTTTCTTAATACAACATAATTAGGTCAAAGCAAAACAAAAAGGAATTGCAATATTAGAGGCACTCAAGGCTTACAAACACAACAACCATCATGTAAAAAATTGTTGATTGAACATGAAGACAAGGTTGAACAACACAGTACACATGCATTTGAGCAAAGAATGAAAATAGCTGTTGATGATGCATATATGCATATAGAAGGAGTCTCTGCTCAGCCCAATAGAGGCTAAAAGAAGTCTGGTAAATCCATAGTAACACCAAAAACAATACTTTGGAAAGAAAAATAAACCACAGCTCAGAATTAACAAAACCAAAGTTGGAAAAAGAAGCTATGGGGCCTTCTCATCACCAATCATCATCTTCCTCTTCTTCACAAATTACATGAGTTCTCGCATCCGCAATACCTCTAGATTGTTGTCCTTGGCTACACTAGCAATAGCCAAGTCGTAGGTTGGGCTCCATGAGAAGTCTGTAATGCTATCCGTGTGGGCAGAGTGAAAAAAGACAAACTCCAGGGGTCCTCTATTAGCCTCCTCACTGGTTTGTGCGTGCCCCATCCTGAATGGCAAGAAAGCCAAAAGAGTGAATTACATACAGCTCTGTTTTCTTCTTGCATCTGTATATCTATCTTTGAATTTGGGGACATTTTTTACAGAGAAATTTCAAGAAAATTAAAAACTCATATAACAATGCATTCTTTTCTTGAATTCTTCACAGATATAGCTATGCACCATGTAACAGTAGTGAAGAAATACCTGCTAATATCCCAAACAATAATCTTCCTGCCAGAGCTTGAAGCTAAATAATTCTCATGCTTATGATTCCACCTACCATGGCCAACTTCCTCCCTGTCACAAGGTTCAGAAAAGCCTTTAATACTTATGCCCTAACGATTGATAAAGAAAGCAAAGTTTCCTCAAGAAGAAAATGGGAAGTAGAATAGCCTCTTACTGCAATAGACATTCCAAGGTATGGAGGAAAGGGGAAGTCTTGCGCGGATCAAACACTTTGACTTTCCTATCAGATGATCCAGTTGCTACAATCGGTCCACAAAATGCCAGGGAGTTAACCTGTATTAATAACAAAGAAATAATGTTAGGAAAGTTACATAAATCAACTAATGTAGTCACAAAGAATAAAACAATAAAAGTTAAAGAACATAAAGTGAAATGAAAATTTAATTTCATTTACAAGCTACTAGACAATAGACTTGCACTTCCAAGCCTGTGCCACGAAATGGACTTGTCTGAGATCAAGTGCTATGCAGATTGTTCAAACTCAGAATCTTCTTTTACCAACTAAAGATATACAACTGTTTGAACGAACAAGTACACTAATGTATTCCAGACATAGTACTGATTTCTACAATGTACTCAGTTGAAAGACGCTTGTAAAGATCTGAATGAAAGATACCATCCTCTACACATATGTATGACTCCATTTCTGTACTCAAATACTCACCTTAGCATCATGACAAAGTACAGATTGATTAAAATTGATTGCTGGAGTGCGTATATCCCATATATGTAGATGTTTATCTTCTCCAACTGTACCAAATAAGTTCCCATCCTTCATATGCCAAGCTACATCCTCAATACATCCATGCTGTATCTGTTAGAACATCACCAAAAGAGCTATTTATCAGCATAAAAAACAAAATGATGCATAGTAGTTCTTATATAGTTAATTCTGATACATACATCAAATATACGCATAGCCTCAAGTGTCTTATCCGTTGGAGTGGCATTAACATCCCACAAGCAAACTTGGCCATCCTCTGAGCCACTTAACAAATGACCCTTCTTAAATGGACTCCAGGACAAGCAATGCCCTTTGTCTTTGTGACCAGTTAACCTCAAATCAGGGTTGCAAACACCCTCCTCGGGAGGTTTTGATGGATGTTTGGTACAATCAAATATGAAAAACTCAGCACTGCCTGTCTTGGTAGCAATAATACTTGGGTTTTGTGGCATGTAACGAGCCCAGTTAACTACCCCATCATGATTTATTTTCTGCACTCTTCTTGTCTGCAACAGAAATATTACCTCAAATAGCTGCTAAATTTGTAAAATAGGCAAGAAAAGATACTATAGGAAAATGAAGTTTCAAAACAAAACTACTATAAATGTATGTATACATTTGAAGTTGACGATAAGTACAGAGTATATGTTTTCTGAAGTTTCAAAACAAAACTACAGTTAGAATTGAAGGAAAGGGGAAAATGAGATTGTAAGAAGTCTGATTTATGCAAATAATATTTGATCTATCTCAACATATTTTGCAGCTTTCTTAATACAACATAATTAGGTCAAAGCAAAACAAAAGGAATCGCAATAAAAATCACAGAAGAATTCACTATGTACCATCCCGATCTCAACGGAGGAACTGGATTCTTCACCAACCCAATCTTCGCGACTCAGCTTAACTTGATCGAGCATAAGGATGCTTTGTTCATTCTCTGGCGCGCAAGTTCCGACGATCAGTTTCTGGATAGTAAGCTTTCCCTCCAGCTCCTCCCCGTCGGGGAGCCATTCCACGGTGGGCGTCGGCTTGTCGAGGTTGTGAGTGACGAACTTATCGTCCACCGTGCGTGATTCGCTCGTGGTTGCCCGCGAACTAGAACTCATCGCGTTTGATCTTCAACGATTTGCAGATTGCAGAATTCTTAGCAATGGTGGAGAAATCAGAAATGGCTATCTTGGGAGTTTGTTGTGTTTTGTTAAAGCTTTTCAGCAGAGTTTTGGAGGGAAATTGCAACTGCTTCAGGTCGTTATAATAGGGAATCTTTTCCGCGTAAAACATGGAGTTAATTTATTATTTTCCCTAACGATATTCAAATTTTTTTTTTAACCATATTAATATATTATTTAGGCATGCTTATCAGTCAAGAAATCAAATTTTTTTTTAATACTATTGACTCTATTAGAAAATAATATATGTTATATATATACTTTCTTTATCAGTTTCAACCTAAAAAATTAATACTCTATCATAGAGTTCAATCAAGAAGAGTCACGGAGGTATCAACTGAGCACAAAATATTTTGTAAGACATCAATTTAAATAAACTTAAAACATTTTTAACACATGTAATAAATTTTTATTAACATGTAATAATGTTTTAATGACTTTAATAGAATCAACGACATTAATACAAGATTTAATAAAATAACATTTTTGTTTCATCAAAATAATTGATAAAGTGTTTCATTTAGAGCATCCATATCAGTTGAGTTTATTTCTCAGTTATTTGTGGGTCCCAGCATCCACCTCATCTTCTATCATCTCATTCAATTACAAAAAACCCTTATCCACATCAATTTTGAGTTATTTTTCAGTTTTTTATGCACCCACCATTTAACTCACTATATTTTAATTATTTCTCTTACTTATTGGGACCACAAATATACCATACTTTGCATAAGAAATAATTTTGAAATAACTCCTCCCCACATCAGCTATTAACTTTGAGTGGAGAATTCATATAGAAATAACTCCTAAATAACTACTAGTGTGGATGCTCTTATGGAAAATGCATTTAACATAAATGAATATTTGAATAGAAATTCATAGACAGGATCAAAATGATGTGGTAAATAAACCGAATCACGTTAAAAACTCATGTCAGGATCTCGACATGTTAGCCACACCTGCATGCTCCAACTTTGAATGGAACGGTCTCAATTGGTCCACAAGTGCTGGTAAATAAACCGAATCACGTTAACGGACTCGCTTTATTTTTAAATTTTTTTTATTAACATGTAATAATGTTTTAATGACTCATAATAGAATCAACAAAGTTAATACTAGATTTAATAAAATAACCTGGAGCAGCAAGGAGAATGAGTTTTTCCAGTTTGTCGTTTTGAGTAACAGAAAATGGCGCGCGTGTGAGTAAAATGAAGGAGACTGCGTTTTCTTGAAGATCATACGTGTATATATATAGATACAGTCTGTGAGCATGAACGCTATAACTGCCACTAACAAGCTACTGGTTGGTAGAAATGAAAAACACTAATTATAAAAATTTAGTAGTGTAAAACTACATATTTGTTGAATTAAAAATGAAAACAGTAATAATAATGTAATTTTATACTAAATGCATCATTATTAATTTATTATTGTGAAATAAGTGAAAACAGTAATGGTATTAATGTATTATAGTTTTAGTAAAAAAAAAAATGTTTATGAGATTGTATTATAATTTTAGTAAAAAAAAAAAAGGGTAATGTTTAGGAATTATAGTTTTATTAAAAAAATATTTAGGAGAAATTTGTTAAATTTATTAGTTATATTGTTTGACTTATTACCAAAGCTATAATACCATTATAATTTAAAAAAAAAAAAAAATAGAAACAATAGCTAGCCATCCATGACTGTTTTTTTTTTTTTAATTTTATAAAAAAAAAAAATTGTGAAACAAGGAAGAATGAAGTTAGTGGCATTTCCACCCATATGGAACACATGAGTACACGTATTGGTACGTATATGTAACTGCAAGTTCATGCTCTGTGAAGGACAAATGCATTTTTATTCTATTGTAAATTTTTATTACGATAAACTTTGTTATTTATTGTGTAAGGATGTAATTTTTTTTTCTTTTTCTTTTTTTTTTCACTTTCTAACTCTACAATAATGATGGTCTATACTTGTATAATATTATTATTTGTTCTTATTATTATACTTAGAAAGTTATGGATGTAGCACCATTTAATCCTAGACCCATTGACTCATCGATGCTTGTGTTCCAACCGAGGCATCGTTGTCTTTCAATATGAAACAATGTAGAATATGATGCTCGAATAAAATTATCCTGATCTAATCTGCTGGACTAAGCTAGCTTAGGACTTGATATGAGCTCGCTCGATCAGGGAGTACTTGTTCTGGACTACTGTAATTGATGGATATATTATAGGTCGACCCGAGAGCACGGAGCAAGAACGAAGCCCCGGGACAATGCTACGTGCCTGACCCGTTCGCTTCGGCGGACACCTCGACAGCCGCCTCGACACGGGACCTTCGCGTGAGGCCTCGGCAGGGGGTCAACAGAAGACCTCGACGACCTGTCTCCGGACCGGACGCGGTCAAAGCGGGGATCAACCGCTCCCTCAGTTCAAGAGGACAGTTTGGAGGTCCGCGGCTTGTATAAAAAGCCATTCCTTTGTCCAATTAAGACACATTCAATCTACTTTAGCTACAATTGTCTTAGCAAATCATTGTAATAGCCAACTTACGTCATTCAATATAATATACGGTCTCCGCGACCTTTATGACGTCATTTTGTCTATTTCTTATTTACGTTCTTATCCGGGTTTAATAATTCGGGCTACCCCGAGTTAATTAAATCCATCAGTAATGAATATTTATCATGAGAGATATATAGATGGATATCTTAGCCAAATAATTGAGGAATGAAAAACATAATATTAACTCCTGAATTCAATTCCCCGGTGTAATTAAACCTGCAATCTGTTTTTATGCATATATAGTAGGGAAAATCCTATTGCTACTACAAAAATAACATATAATGTCGGTTTTTCGAAAAACCACGACATCAAAACAACAAATAAAATTATATATTTTTAAAAAATATATAACGTCGGTTTTCTTAAAGAAATTTAAAAAATTATTATATACGAGGTTATTAAACGTATCACGAAAAAAAATCATGATAAAAAAAAATAAAAAAAAAATAAAAAAAAAACTTAAGATGCTTTGTTCATCTCTTAATTACTACCTCGACGTTGATGTTACTACTTTCATTAGAAAGCTTTAGAAACTGCCTGTTTTGTTTGTAGTTACTACAGGAAGAAACTGCGAGAACCAGAATGATAGTCAGGATAGTTTCAGAAGCGTGTTTTTTTTTTTTTAAATAATTTTTCTTGATTTGAGCCGTTGATCTAAATTAGATCAACGACTCAGATTTCACCCCATTTTTCATCGAGAAGAATTTTCTCACAATCCCTATATACATATTGGTGTTGTATTAAGACTACGGTAAGTATAAAATGAAATTCAATAATATATCTCATTGTAATAAGACTATTGTATGTATAAGGTTGAATGAAAGTGTAGTTGAAACGAAATGAAACTTTAATTGTGCTGAAATAAAATTACAATGTGTATGAAATGAAACTTAATATATTATACAAACTGAACTAATTTAATTACACAGAACTACACAAAACGGGTGTCATTTCTTTTCGTTTCTTTTATGGCACTATTGTGGACCATGGTCCACGGTATAATTTGCCCTACATTGATGTTGTAATATTTTTGGCTCTGTTTTTTTTGGTTTTATTTGGATGAGGCCGGAAAGTCTAGCTGCAGTGAGGTTGAAAGGGATTCGATCGATCTGATGCCTTGTTTAAAAAACTTAATTAGCTTAATGCCTGCCTGCCATGTTGGTAATTATAGTATGTAACATCATGCATGATTGAAGTATAACTCAGTATTTTTCACCTATCAACATGCATGTCATCATTGTATATATTGTACACTTTTTACTAACTTGGCCACGTAAACTAATTCAAATAAACAAAACAAATAAAAAAATAAAGAGTAAACCCGTATAAATAATGCTAGGGTAGATACTAAAAATAAAATTTAGTTGAAAAAACAAAAAAAAAAAAAAACAAAAAAAAAAACAAAAACAAAAACAAAAAATGATATATATTTTTCTTAATAGATTAAAAGTTGTAGGTCAAGTACTTATTGAGATTTGAGAACTTATATATCATCAAAGTTGTTTGGAGCGGAGCTAGCATGGGGCAGTTGCCCCACTCACCCCATCCCACCCCATGTATAATTCTTGTATTATATATATATATATATATATATATATATATGTGTGTGTGTGTGTGTGTGTGTGTGTGTGTGTGTGTGTGTAGCACACAATTTTAGTATAAGTAGTAAAAGAAAACAGTTAATGTTAACAAAAAATGATTCAGCCTAGATGGTAAACCATCTTTGTTTGTTTAAGGAAGGGTGTGGGTTTGAATCCTTTGTAATTGTTTATGGTTTAAACATAGTTTATAGCTATTTAAATAATGATTAGACTTTCAAAGAACGTTTTTATGGCTATGTGAGATTCTCTCTCTCTCACACACACATATATACTTTTTAAGTTATCCATTTTGTTTTAATGTTTCGCAGAAGGTCTTGATGCTTAACATTTTGTTATAAACTTATAGACATTTTTTATTATTTAAACTTCGCCCCCACTCAACCATTTTTCTGGATCCGCCCCTGACATGATAGTTAAAGACAATATGGATATGAAAAGAATTGATATGTATGTGTCACTAAAGATGACAATGTGATTTATGTGTACATGAGTTGATTTAGAACATCCACACTAGGAGTGAATGCCAAGATATTTCAGAATTAATTTCTCAAGTTGAAGAGCAAAGTTGATGTAGGAGAGAAAGATTTGAGAAAGAATTTGGCATGCAACATCCCAAAATAATGTCAGCAAAAAAAAAAAAAAAAAAAAAAAAAAAAAAAAAAAGAGAGAGAGAAAGGAAACGTTTTGCGCACAGCTGGGACAAAGCTGGGCGCGTGCAGTGCATGCGCCTGGTGGCGCACCTGACAGTGCCAATTATTTTATTTTATTTTTTTTAAATTCAGTTTTGTTTTTTTTTTTTTCTTTTTTCTTTTCCCTCCCATCTTTTCTTTCCTACTCACTCTTACATTCTCCCCTAATATTCCCAACTGATAATAATGCTCTTAGTCACAATCCATGTACTAGAATACTTTGGTCATGTCAAGTCACTCTCCATGTAATTTGTTTAGGCTAAATCAGCCCAATTCAAACCAAATAACTTTTATTTAAATTTAAATAAAGAGTTAATTTAAAAACTGATCATTTGATTATTGATTTTTTACCAATGTTTATTTTCAACTTTTAATTTGACTAAAATTGATTCTTTGACTATTGATTTTGTTTCAATTTTGAATTTTTTGTTAAATCTCAGTTAGGTAGTTGTTAAATCTGAGGGCAAGAATGTAAAATCAATTCTTTTGCCCTCTTCCAATCATTATACCGTGCACTAGGACGCGCATAGCACTGTGCGCCCCGCGCCTCCCAAAACGACGTCGTTTTGTTAAGTTGTTAAAATAAATTTCCCTGTTTCGAATGCACATAAACTCATAACTGAATACACATAATCTAACATAATACATAATACACATAAACTCATAACACAATGCACATAAACTTTTAACCGAATAAACATAATAGGTTTGATTAACATAATACACATAAACTCTTAACTGAATACACATAAACTTATAACACAATACACATAAAATTTTAATTGAATATACATAATGAGGTTTGGTCTATTCGGATGAACGGAATGATGTCAGTATGATATCAGCATGAAACATGCGCATTTTGTGCCTGGGCGCACATTGCTATGTGCGGTGTGGTGCACGATATAAATTCACGCCCTCTTCTTCCTCTTTTCTTTTTCATAATCGTTTCTTATAAAATAAAATCAAGAATTTCTTAACGATATTTGTCTAGGACTTTTGAAATCAAGAAAAAGTCCAAATTAATTATTAATTACTTATAAGTTACATAATTTTATTATGATATTATTATATTAATAAAATAAATTTGCAATATTTAAGAAACAAAATACATAACAATATATGCTACGACTATGTATTGGGACATCGTCCTCCCGGACTCCATTTCAGCATATCTATAATATAACCACATTGGTTGCTTTAAAAAAAAATACATAACAATATTGTAAATGGGTAGAGAAGTTGGTTACTGGTAGAAGTTGACGGGGACGATACTGGCACGAAAGACAGCGATTTTGAAGAACATAATAAGCATGGCGAGATCGGTGGCCTACAATGGACGAGTTTCCAACGAGGTAGGCACCGTAGCTGAGCTCAGCACCGCATTGTTAACCCCATAGCCTTGGTCCGCAAGCACCGGCTACACAAAATCAGAAGTACGTAAACAAATTAGGAACTCAAACTTCATTGCACAAATAGAGAGATAATGACTGTATACTCATGGTCAAGCCGTTCCAATAAAATTTGAGGTCATGTGCAATATCTTAATTTGAGGTTTTTTTTAAAAGTAATTTTTATATATAAATAATAGTTGTTCAAAAAATTGTATTAAAATATAAATATTATATAAAAATATATCTAAAATTTCATTTAAAAAGTGACATGCGCCGTGCACATTTAGACGCAAAATCATCCACCAAACTTTTGATATCAACTTCTTCCAAAAGCTCATTTTCAATGGACATTAAACTATTTCCTTGAGTCTCTCTTGCAACGTAACAAACTTGATCAGTAAAATTTCAACTTTGAAAAACTCCTTTCTGTAGAGGCAATAGCACTGCTGAAAATTATCTAATTTCCGACCACCTGAAAATGATCAAAAATCATGTCAAAAGCATTGTTCCGACCACTTTTGGCGTCCGGAAAAACCTTTATAGCTATTTCCGACCACTTTTTACTTTAGATTCGATTTAAAATCACTTTCAGGTGGTCGGAAATTCCATAATTTCCAGTAGTGTAGTAGCATTTGGAAAACAACCCATCTATTTCAATGAATTCAATATACTCATTGTCCCTATCTTTTCTTTCAATAAAATCTCTCTAAACAATTTTATCTCAATATACAATTCATTTCTATCAATATCACCACACTGCTCACTTAGATTTGTGAATGGAATTAAAAAATAAAAATAATGGTAATTGCTAATTAGCATAAGGTCCCGGCCGAAGATACTAATTGTTATTTGAGATTTTGAATTGGGAATTGTCTTTCTTAAGTAGGGAAGGGAATCAAGGGATTAGAAAATATATATACATACACACACACACACAAATATATGTATTTTTTTGAATTTTTAAAGTATTGCCAATTAGACTCTATTTCACCCTATCACGAATTGGCTCAATCTCTCTGCACTTAGCCTGAAATCATGTATACTATATATACATATAATTTTTTTTTAAATATGGGGCCTCCAAAAATTAGAGGCCCTGTGCGGTCGCACATGTTAGACATGCTCAGAACCGGCCTTGCCCATGGTCCTAGCGATAGAAAAGAAATAATGAAGAAAAAGGCAAAGATTTTGATTTTACATTATTTTCCTCGTATTTAACCCTTGTTTAACATAGATTTAAACGGGGGGAACAAAATCAATAGTTAAGGGACCAATTTTGGTCAAATTTAAAGTCAAGGATAAAAAATTGTAAAAGTCAGTAGTCGAATGACCATTCATGGAATTAACTCTTAAATAAATTTATAATTGATGGGCTTATAGCTAGACATATCACTGCAGCAGATTGATTTTTTAGCGACACGTACTTAGCGGCGGTTATATACCACTACTGCTAAATGAGTATTAGCGGATAGCGAATAGTGGAGAGGAAGATGATAAATGGCAAAGGGTGCAATGAAATTAGCGGATAGCGAATAGCGGATTGTGTTAGTAGGTTTGACTAGCGAACTGCATTAACAGTTTATAAAAAATGTTTGATAAAATTAGTTGTTTAATGTTAGCAGTTAATTTGTAAATTAAAAGAGACACAAAAGGACATTTATAATAATAGTAGTAATACTTATATTTATAATTATAATAAAATATTATTATTATAGAATAATAATAACATAACAATAATAATAATAATAATAATAATAATAATAATAATAATAATAATAATAATAATAATAATAATAATAATAATAATAATAGTCATAATAATTTTTAAAAAATAAATAAATAAATAAATAAAAAAAGAACAAACTGTGATGTGGGATCAGAAGATCCCATGTCCAGAAATAAATTAAAAAAGGGTGTTGGGCTCTTTCAATAAAGGGGAGCTCAACGCCCCTTATTCGAATAGTTATGTTGTGCAACATGGTGCACACGGTTGCAAAATGACGTCGTTTTGACTAAAAATGCGTGTCCTATTTTTTTTTAAAAAAATCAGTTTTGATTCCCCTCAACAATATTATTGTGGATATATAGTTATGAATTATTGTGGATATATAGTTATGAATTTGTAGATATTTAGTTCATTCATTGTGGATATTTAGTTCATTCATTCTGAATTTTGTGTTATTCATTCACTGTGGATATATAGTTATGAATTTGTGGATATATAGATATGAATTTGTGGATATATAATTCAAATTATGCACAAAAAAATGTTATGCACAAATTTTAAGTGGGACGCGCATTTTTAGTCAAAACGACGTCGTTTTTGCAACCGTATGCACCATACATGGTACACACGGTTGCACACCATAATTTGCGCCCTTATTCACCCCTGTCATTTGATTCCCATATCGAATAGACAGGAGATGAGAAGCCTTAGACTTCATTATTAAAAAAGCCCGAAGTTTTTATTAACAAAACAAATCTTGTTCTTTTTTTAAGATTTAAATGGTGTCACTGCTGGAAATTAGTGTTTTTCCGACCTCATTCCGACCACCAAAAAAGTTGGTCGTAAAAAGTGATTTTTTTTTAATTTTTTCGACAGACAGTTAGAGTGGTCGGAAAGTGATCGGTATTTCTGATCACTATTTAAATCGTGGTCGGAAATATTTCGTCCAAATGTAATTTTTTAAATTGAAATGTTGTTGCGACCACACAAGTTGTCGGAAATATTTTTTTCTACAGTTTAAATGTTTAGAAAGACATACTTTAAAAAGAAAAAAAAAAAGTCTATTAAAGACATAGTCAGCTTTTCAAAAACAAAAAGACATGGTCAACAGCATCAGATGACAGCCGAGAGCACAACACTCTCCAACACTCTCCAACACTAACCCTAGATTTCTCTTCGCGACTTCTTCGCCTTCGCCACCGGCATTCCGCCCGCCTCCGCCTCTGCCACAACCAGTCGACAGACCGCTCAGACGCCAGGTCGCTAGTCCAGTCCGGCAGTTGCAGCAGTCAGCGCCCAGCAGCCCTCAACATTCGCAGCAGCCCTCCGCCTTCACAGTCGCAGCAGTCGCACCTGGTCGCCGGTCGCCCCTCACTCTCTCAGCAGGCAGCAAAAACAGGTTGTTACATATATTTAGGGTTCTTTATTTCTTAATCTATTGTTAGGGCATTGGCCTTCACTTTGAAATAGTCCTAGGTTACATAAGGATATGTGTAGGTATCTATGTACCTAACTTCATACATCCTTCCATGATTGATTCCACTTCGTCAAGTTCAATAACATATCAGTTTTCTAACACTAGAATTCATATTATTTTGTAAACTTTTTGTTTTCTTTTGAACTATTATAACCTGTACATGTTTTATATTTTGTGATATTTTTCATTTTACAGAAAATTCCTCTTGATTTTCTCAGGGGTGATAAATTTCAAGAAGCAGCAGAGAACTATATTAAACCTCTCATGACTAAAGTATGCTTTGATTTCGGTGAATATATGCATCAGTTATTTGTATTCATGTACGCGCATGATAAATTGTTTAATCTGATTGGGTATGTATTTGTGATTTTCCATGTTTTGTTTGTTAAATTGGGATGCATTGCTGTTTGGAATTAACACCATTCGTTTTTTCCTTCTGATTTTTTATTCTTTTCGGGAAGCAGGGCTATATGGGGTTAGGATGATTCCTATGTATTCATTGGCAACTTGCAAAGGGGAGTTGACATGATTTCAATAGACAAAAGAGAATTGTTTCGAAATTACAAAGTGTACACATGCCTGCTATCCAATGGCGCTTTGATGCACACCAGTATGAGGTCGGGATGCTTGCTGGTGCTACCATCGGTGGTCAGGTATATCTCTGGACACCATCTTAAAACCACAGGTTTGCTTTCACATCTAGCACACAAATTATGTTTGGCACAATGACACATGTATGTATGCGTCTACTTTACACCTACATACTTTGATAATTCAAAAGTTTTGAATAGAAAGTTGTTCATTCATGTGATTAGTGAAGATAACATTTTCTTATAATATAAAGAGTAAGAATTTCATTTAGAGGGAAATAGTGAAACACTATATATCACAGCTAATGCAGATATTTTATGGACACTGATAACTGATTTGTTTGTTTACACATAAGTTATCTCACTAGAAAGTCAACACCCTACTCCTGTTAGGATGCCTAAACAAACCTTTTCTCTTTCCTTTTATTCTTTCTTAGAGTGGGTGTGCTTTGACTGTACAATTTTTTCCTTTTATGTGTATCTCTTTCCCTTTCTTACTCTATTTAGCTAATACTCCTGTCAATGGATATCTCTGTCTATGGATTTCTTATCTGTCAGCTCTTTTAATCTAAGTATACCTTCTTTGGCTTTTCCCCTTCTTATGTTATTTTTCCTCCCTTTTATCGGAATTAAAAGGACAGGACAAAATAATCAAAAGTTTTTTTGATACCCAGCTTGCTTTAATCTTTTATAATACTGGTTTATATTTTCTCTCTTTGAAGATGGATTCTTTGAAGAGTGAGATAGAAGCTGTTCATAAAATTTTGGAAATATATTTAGCTCTAGCATTGTTCTCATTTTTTGATTGTAGTCTCAAATCCTTAAACAGCTTTTACTTGGAAATATAGCATTTTTTCTTTGCAGGAATCCTTTGTTGTTTTCTCTTAATTTCAAAATTGTGTTTGTTTGCTGTCTCATTATCTGGTTCTTCTCTGCTCCTTTTGCATTTATTCTAGAAACTTTATAGAGTTTTAACGTTTAGTCTTCACAGACTCTGCTGTTGGTCATACTGTTTCTGAAATGGCAATATAATCTCACTTATAACAAATAATAATTGCTCAAAGAATTTATCCATTTTTGGCAGGTCTTTGCAACCTAGGGCCTTTGTAGAAACCTTATGTGGTTCACCACTATACGGTGGATGCCAAACTTGCCTCCATCTTTGCTTGGACACGAGGACTTGCTCACAGGTACAACATTCTTCGATTTTCCAAGCTTACACATGTGCATAGAGTTTGTCTACTAATTGCTTTGCTCACTACATATATAACGCAGTTAACGATTGTAATATTATGCAAATAGGGCTAAGTTGGACAACAACGATAGACTCTTGGATTTCACCGAGAAGCTTGAAGCAGCTTGCATTGGTGCTGTGGAGTCTGGAAAGATGACCAAGGATCTTGCACTTATCATCCATGGGTCAAAGTGAGTGTCACCCCCACGGCCCACCTCCACCCCCTTTAGTATAACTCTTAAAAATTTTTGTAGTTAGACTTGATCAAGAACATTACCCCATTGTGTTTATAATGTTGTCTTCTTAATTATGTAGGCTTTCAAGGGACATATATCTAAACACTGAAGAATTCATTGACGCTGTGGCAGATGAACTGAAAGCTAAACTGTTGAAAGCCAAGGCATAATTGATAAATGTATGTATACATGCTTCTTTATTATTGATGCTGGATTCATTGGATTTGAATTGAATACCAAACCCATTTCTTATTCTCACCATCCATCTGTTCTAGGCTTGGATGCAACAATAGAAATGACATTGTATTTGACAGAGAACAGAAAACAGAAATAACACCTCGCGACAAGAGTATTGATTTCTTTTATACAAATAATCATGATGTGTTCAATTGATTTTTTTTATTTTATTATTATTTTTTTTTTGTGTTTGCTTTCAAGTTCAAAACTAAATGTTCTTTAATCAATTTTGCAGCCATTATTATGCTATCAAAGTAAATTCTTTATTGAACTATTATCTAATCCTTTACTCATTAAAGAAACTTAATACTTTTTGTGGGTTTGCTTGCTTGTTTTCACCACCAAGTCATGTGATGGTCTGACACAAATTTGATTCTGGTCTACATACTAATTCTTGAGAAATGAAAAACAAACTCATGATCATTATGTTCTTGATTTTTTGATAACTAATACACTACTACATGATTCCCTCAACTCCACTTTTCATTGTGCTCTATTCACGATTCCCTCAACTTTTCATAGTGTTGGTGATAACTTTAGAGAGGATGATTGTAGTAGCTGGCTGGTTCCCGTCTGTGAATCGAAAGGCAACTGAAAAGGTTCCCAAATAATCATGTTCACTCTGTTAGTTGTGTCAGTGAAGTTAGAATTGAAAACCTTTTTATATGTCCTGGAGCACTTAGAATAAGACAGCATCAATATATATCCATAGAATCATAGATTGTATTTCAGTATGATCTTTCTAGAATTCCAAATTCAGTTTTATATAATCATGGGAATAGTTAAGATGTGTTTGTAGTTTATACTTAAAGGAATAGTTTGCACTTGATTTGGCTCCTCTCTCTATATAATAGAAATGCAAATGTTAATCTTTTTTTTTTTTTTAATTTCTGTATAAATATGTAGTATTATATGTTATAATATATGTTATATATCTTTGTGGGGTATTGTTACATGGTGTTTCTAGTCCCGTGAATTGTTCAATATGCTTTATTGGAAGGATTTAGTTATGAAAACTTGCTTTAATTTATTGCTAAGGTTTTAGTCTTACTAACCTTGTCATTCCCTAATTTCTGACATAAATTTCTTCTGGTGAGATATCTGTGCGCTTGCTATTATATTTTCAGTAAACAGAGAAGAGTTATGTTGACTTCTATTTCTATCTTCAGGAAATCTTAGTTGTTTATTTTTTTGTTCCAGTGCAAGGTGTTTATGTGAAGAATTTCTTTCATATAAAGGAGTTTTGAAATTGATCTTGTATATGGACATTATAGTGGATGAACTGAAGATATGAATCACCAGCAGGAAGATGATGTGATATCGTCTGGCTCTTCATCACCAGATTCAATATCATCACCCTTTGGTGGAATGAGTTATCCCTCATTGTTCAGTTCCAAGCCAACTACCTATGGCCCAAAATTGTTAAAGATGTCCTGATGTTAAAGATGAAAATGGCCCAAAATCAAAGCTGATTGTGATTTTGTATTTTTTGAGGTTAGTTCTCATCTGGATTTTGCTTAATTTTGGATATAATATTTTGATTCTTTGTTTTTCCTTAATTTAGTATGTCATTTTTTACTTCTTGTTTTGTATTAAGTAAATATTTGCTGTCTTTAGCTATTTGTCTGAATCAGTTTGATGTTAAAATTTTCATTCTTTGGATTTTACCTTGTACTGTTAATCAGGATAAATTAAAGAAGGGAACATGTATTCTTAAAGATGGCCTGAGTGGTAATTTTCAGACAATAATGATCGTCACCATATCTCTAGCAAATAGTTAGTATCACCATACGGGTAACACTTTGAAGTATGCTCACCGAACAAAGGAAATTAAGATACATTCAGGTGAGAGTCCTATCTATAGATGTCTAGGAACTTTTATAAGTAATATATTTGATACATGAGCATATGAATATGCTGCAATTTGTGATATAGTTGCTACATGTTGAAATAAATTTCTTAGATTGAAGGAAGCTTTGTTGTAATTTTGGGTCCAGGTTCAGATCCTTCAGAATGAAAAGGAAAAAGTTTTGGAGGAATCGGTGAGAAGCCTTGATGAGAAGTTAGCATCTGCTCTCGATGAGTGCAACGCTAAAGATGAATTAGTCACAAAGCTCACAAACATGGCGGAAGAAGCCATTGCAGGTGATAACTTTATTTCTTTGTTTATTCATGTTGTATTGATGATTCTTTCAAATTTTTTTTCCCGTTTCTGCAAAGTCCTTCCAACTAACTTTTGTGCAATTTGTTAATTGATGCAAAATTTAGCTCACAAGAAAGCGGAGGCTGAAATTATGTGTTTGAAGGAAGAGTTAGAAGAATGGAAGGCTACCTTAACAGTGCATTAAAGGATTGTATGCAGAAATGAAGGAAGAGTTGGCTGTTTATGGACCTATATCAAATGATATCTCCTCCATATCAAGCCATGAAATGAAGAAGGAGCATCAAAGTGTTTCTACTGAAGCTTGGGCTTGTGCTTAGATATCTGAACTAGAGCATTTCAAGAATCATAAGGACCAGAAGAGTAACTCTGAACAGAAAACGATTGGAGTTTCAGAGATGAGGCTAATGGATGATTTTGTCAAAATGGAAAAACTAGCAATAGTAGCAAATATCTTCAAACAGATGATGAATGAATTCTCTTCAAGCATATGAAATGTGTATTTTATGTTTTTTTAGCAAATATCTTACCAGCTTGCAACAATATATATATATATATATATATATATATATATATATATATATATATATATATATATATATATATATATATATATATATATATTCATTTCATTACAGAGATCTCTCTGTAATGAAATAAATTTTTTTTATTGATTGCGTCCAGTTTTCCGACCACCAAAGTGGTCGAAATTTTCGACCACCGGTGGTCGAAAAATCTGGACCGGCCTAACTATTCTCTTGGCCATTTTTTCCGATGGTCTTAGAAAAGTGGTTACTCTTTCCGACCACTCTCTCTTGTGGTTGGAAATAGCTAGGGGTATTTTTCCGAATACCCAAATTGGTCGGAAAAGAGGTCGGAAAAGGTGTTTCCGACCTAATTAAGGCCATTTCTGACCACTTTTCGGTGGTCGGAAAATGGCAAATTTCCAACAGTGTGTTTTGGGCTTTTTGAAATGGTACAAATTATAGTGTCTCATATTTTTGGCAGTTTGAAGTAAATATGCTGCTCTAAACTTCCATTTAATTATCAAACAAATATTTCAGCGTTTTGACATGATCAAAATGTTAAAAATGGAAAATTTGCTAAAATTTTAACGGATTTATCAATAACCAAACAAGTCCAAAATATTGTTTTCTAATGGACCACGTAGTATTAAATATGACTCTCTGTCTCACCTTAAAATTTGCATCTTCGTTTCAAGTTTTGTGTTTTTTAATGGTTTTGCTAGTTTATATGAGATTTTTAAAGAATTAAACAAAGAATTACCATAGAAGTTAGAAAAGAAGAAAATTTGGAGGTGACTCTTTCGACAATCGTTATATCCTGCACCACGGCGTACAGTGCACTGTATGCCCCGCGCCTCCCAAAACGACGTCATTTTGGGAGGCGCGATAGGAAGTTCACATGATTATGTATATTTGTTTATACAATTATGTATATTTGTTTATACAATTATGTATATTTTTTATTATGTATATTTGTTTATACAATTATGTATATTTTTAATTGTGTACATTTTTTATACAATTATGTATATTTTTTTTATACAATTATGTACATCCAAATCATGAAATTTTTGTATATTATGTTAAGAGTTGATGTGTATTATGTTAAAAGTTTATGTTTATTATGTATTATGTTAGATTATGTGTATTATCTTTTAAAAAAGAGTATGTGTATTTTGTTATATAATTATGTACATTCATGTATATAATTATGTGTATTCTAGTATAACATTATGTACATTTTTGAACATGGGTTTTTTTTTAAAGAAAAATTAACTGACAAACACTGGGGCGAGAAATTTCAAAAAAAGAAAAAAATTGAAACGACGTCGTTTTGTATCTGAGCGCACAATGCAACGCGCACCGTGGTGTAGGATATAAATTGCCCTCTTTCGCTGGTCGTAAATAAAAGACGGTGAAAGATAGTAAATTAGAGGTAAATATTGTCATTATTAACTTGTCCTTCTATTTACCAAGGATCTTGTGGTATCCGGTTGCTCCCCTATATGAGAGGTCTAGGGTATGAGATTCGGTGTAGGTGTAGATTGTATATGTGGGTATTTCCTTCCTTTGTAATAAAAATAATTTGTCCTTCTATTTATCCCCTACCTTTGTAATAAAAACAACTTGTCTTTCTATTTAATATAAATTAGAGGTAAATATTGTAATTATTAAATTGTCCTTCTATTAATCTATTTAATTTAATACTAATTGGACAGAATAATAAACTGATGACTATATTAAGAATAAGAAAAACGTAAAATTTGTAACTACATTGACTCACTAAATTCATTTATAACGAATTCAAGAAAAATAACCGTAGTCGATAATCATTTTGGGTATTAACATTCTCTCTCTTTCTCTCTCTCTCTCTCTATATATATATATATATATATATATATATATATATATATATATATATATATATATATATATATATATATATATATATATATATATATATATATATATAATTAGGTTCGGGTGCGGTTAAGGTGTCCAGGTGCGGTTGTGCGGTTTAATCTGGGCCATTCATCTCACTTAAATCAACGTCTAGGATTATCAAAATTTAAAAAAAAAAACGCAGTGGTAATTTTGTAATTTTTGCATCTAGGTCAAAATTAAGGTGAGTGGATCTGTGATTAAGATGCGTGAGGTTTGTGCGTAAGGTGCGTGAGGTTTGTGCTTAATGTGCGTGGGGTTGTGCTTAATGTGAGTAGTTGTTAAAACTTAAAGTCTGTGAGTTAATAATTAAAGTGCGTGGGTTTTGTGCTTAATGTGCGTGAAGTTGTGCTTAATGTGCATGGATTTTGTACTTAATGTGCGTGAGTTTGTGCTTAATGTCAATAGTTGTTGAAACTTAAAGTCTGTGAGTTAATATTTAAAGTGCGTGTGTTTTGTGCTTAATATGCGTGAGGTTGTGCTTAATGTGTGTGGGTTTTGTACTTAATGTGCGCGAGTTTGTGCTTAAGATCTAACACTTAAGGTGCATGTTTCTATCACTTAAGGTGTGTCATTTTTAGCTTATGCTTCTTTCTTCTAGACACGCGTTTTTTTTTTTTAAATTTTCATTGATATCAACGGCTCAGATCTAACCGCACAACCGCACGGAAGCTATACCCGCACCTGAACCATTCCCTATATATATATATATATATATATATATATATATATATATATATATATATATATATATATATATATATATGTGTGTGTGTGTGTGTGTGTGTGTGTGTGTGTGTGTGTATTCAAATGAGGAGAAGTATATTATAGAGGACTGTGCGAACAGATGTAGTGTGTGCCATTAGCCGGTATGTCGTGTGCATGGCCGAATGTAATCGTGTGCCACAATTTGTATGTCGCGTGCTAGATTTGTTAATTTATAGAGGTTGGGTTCGAAACCTGATGTTTACATTTATTCTTGTGTGACATTATATATATAATTAAGTTCCAGTGCGGTTAAGTGTCTCCCGTGCGGTGTGCGGTGAATAATGTGCGTGAGTTTTGTACTTAAGGTGTGTGAGTCTTGTGCTTAAGATGCGTGAGTTTTGTGCTTAAGGTGCGTGAGTGTGTACTTAATGTGTGAGAGTTTTGTACTTAAAGTGTGTGAGGTTTTTGCTTAAGGTGCATGAGTTTTGTGCTCAAAAATATTGGTAATGATTTATGTTTATAAGAGTTAATAACTAATTTGGTCATCCGACTATTCCGAAACTACCGATTTGGTCCTCAACTATAATTCTTACCAAATTAAGTCCTCAACTATTAAAATCTTACTCGATTTAGTCTTTCTTTAAAAATCCATCCATGAGCTGTTAAATTTAAGAGCAAAAACGTAATTTCACATTCTTGTTTTCTTCTTCCCCATCTTTTGGTCTTCCTTCCCATGGCTGCCGCCGAAAAAATCGCTAACGTGTAACAATGGAACAGCAACCACCATTCACCAACTCCAACTGAATCCAATAGTGATTAACAATAGTTTATATGACGATTTTGGCTCTCTAAATTGTTATTCATACTCACCTGACTTCATTTTCATATGTTGATGATGGTTTAAATTAAAGAAACTTCCGTTCCCGTTTGGCTTCTCCTCCGGCTGCGGAATCGCTCTGAATTGCACCTCCGACGGAGCTATGTCTATCGAATTCCCGGTCTACCAGCTAACTCCCGACACTATAATGATCAATATTTTGGCGAAATGCGGGCATCGGATTGAAGCCATGAAGCCTCTGTTCGGCAAGAACTTTTCCCCCACGTCAAACAATGGGATTCTTTTGAATAATGTGTTGGAAAAATAGCATTAAAATGGCATAAAATGACATATTAAGTGGCTATTTTGTGGTACAATTATCAGTGGGGTCCACTCCCGATTTGGGTCGGGTCAAAGTGGATTCGGGTTCTTCGTAGTGAGACGAAGAGATTGATATATTGTACGCTCAAAACGGATAATGGGTGAATGAGATATTGATTCTCAAAGTAGACCCATTTGAGTTGGAAAATGTAAGGGAAAAGTGAGCTTTGTCCCACATTGATTTGGAAAGAGGATTTCACCCCTCTTTTTTACAAGAGCTTTTTTAGAGCTTGTAGAATTGTATAGCATAGAGGCTCTCTCGCGCGGGGGGGGGGGGGGGGGTGCAAATCAAATTCCAACTAGACGAGATTGAAAAAAATCAAGCCCGAGCTCGTGTGCGCCGGCACTTGGGGGCACGAATGTCATCCGGAAATTGGCTGGCCTTGCGGGCTAAGTTATGCTAATTTCTGTACAGTTTTCCAACACTATATGGCCACACCACGAGAGATCACCCGAGATCAAGACTTGATCTCTCGTGCGCTGTCATGAGGTTACACGAGAGTTCGAACTCTCGTGTTGTGAGCACACACGAGAGTTCAATCTCGTGTGCACTGAAGCACGAACTTTCGTGCATCCCAAAAGTAACTGAGCTGAAACAGCGCGGACCATTTGTTGGTTCTGGACTGTTACAGGATTAATCTTGTATTAATTCCACCTTTTGAATTTTTGAGTTAAATCTCAATAATGGTGGTTGTTTCAGGTGTTACAAATCGTGGATTAAATGCTAAACTAAATGCTATTGATTCCTCACCTCCTATATAAGAAGGGGTGTAGCAGCAACGAACTTTCGTGCATCCCGAAAGTAACTGAGCTGAAACAGCGCGGACCATTTGTTGGTTCTGGACTGTTACAGGATTAATCTTGTATTAATTCCACCTTTTGAATTTTTGAGTTAAATCTCAATAATGGTGGCTGTTTCAGGTGTTACAAATCGTGGATTAAATGCTAAACTAAATGCTATTGATTCCTCACCTCCTATATAAGAAGGGGTGTAGCAGCAATGTTTCTACACAGACTGAAAACAACACACACAACACTGAAATTCTGTTTTCCCAGCTCCAAAATCTCTGCTCCTACTCCCTTCTTGTAGTTGTGTTCGTCACATGCTCTAGTTCGCTGGGTTCGTTCGTTTGGGTGCT